ATGAGGCCCAATGTTGGCAACTAATTCAGATGTTAAGTAAAATGCACTGTCAGCCAGACCAAACATATCTGTAGCCAGATCTACCCCACGGGCTGCCAATGCATGGTCTTAGCTTTGGGGCCAGAGAGACAGTTATTAAAACTCTTTGATACTCAGTTTTCTCATTCATGAAATGATACGTGGAAAAATACTCGACTGATTTTTTTTGAAAGTTATTTTTGGAAATAATTAGACTTACACTTCATGTCTTTAAATGAATGTATGTAAAGTATTTTTCCAGTGTCTGCTACTGAGTAGATCCTCAGTTAATGGCTCTTATATTGATCAGAATCATGCGTTTTTTTTTCAACATTTTCTTCCCCAAACAATCAAGCAACTGCCTTTTCTTAGAAATGTAAAAGATTGCAGTGTCTGCAACTATCCTTCAGGTCAAGAGATGACTATTAGTGTAGAAAAGGTGTGCGGCTCAGCTCCCTTCCCTCAGCTGCCCTGCTCCAGCACCTTCCTTTCAGATCCTCTGGTCCTAGAGATGCCTGAATGTCACAGGCAGAAATATACAAATTCTACACTAAAAGAAGTTGTACAGGAACCTTTAAACAACAGCATCGAAAGCATCTGTTAAAGTAACGCTTTCCACTGAGTGCTTTGCTAGATACGGTACAAAGTGAATTCAACAGATACAGTTCCTTTCCTCTTGGAAGACCTAAGACATTACAAAAACAACAGATATTTTATATTCATATAAAGTGAGATAAATAGCACATGAACAAATAAATTAATGAACCTCCCTACAAAAAAAAAATTGAGGAAAGGGATGCCTGCATTTATTGGTAAGAGAATAATCTGATGCATGTTACACCAGGGGAAAACCACGTTGTCTTTTTCTATCTATCAGGGAGCTCATAAAGAGATGAGATTTCAAAATTGAGTAATCTCAAGAGATTCCTTGGTGAGTTAACAAGAAATGAATGTCCAGATATATAGAGAGGGGAGCATTCCAAATATAGTGTGAGACTTGAGGAGCAGTTTAGGGATGGAAAAAGATGACTGCTTAAATGGATTTAAATACTTTTGCCTGGAAGGATATGATCCTGGTGAAAAACTAAGATGTGACTGACTAGGAAATTCTGAGAATGAAATGATATGAGGCAATGTTCTGTTGAACTCCCCAGACCTGGCCTTCCTCAGGTAATGTCCACAGGCCTGGGAAAAGTCTGCCATCTTCTAGCAAGAGCTTATTTATTTTCACCTGGTTTTGTGGTGTTTTTCAGTTGGTTTAAGTCAACTTGCTCCTCTATTCTTTTCTGTAGTCTTCCCGTGTAGGCTCAGGGTAATCTGACTACAAGCTAGTACTAGGGATGGAGACTCAGGAAGACGGGGACAATGCAGAGTTGCTCTGTTTCCAGCAGGAGTGGTTCTCACTGTGTGTGACTAGCTTGCTGAACCATGACCATCTGCAGTGGCTGTCAGGGGCCTATGTGGGGAAAGTTTGCCTGAACTTTCCTCCTCTTAGATTCTGCTTATCCTTGACCGCTCATGTAGCTATCTGTAATTTCTTGACAAGGAAATGATATTTCGTTTTCGTAAGGCTAAATTTGTTCCAGGGACTTTTTTCTTCTTAAAAACATTGTGTCCCATGATTAACTAAGGATTAAAAAAAAGTTGTGGGGAGGAAACCTAATTTCTTCCAAAATCTTTGAACCTGTCAGTTGAACTCAGCAGGAATAAAGAAATAAGCTGATTTGAAATGTGATAACTAACTAGCTAAATACACACACACACACACACACACACACACACACACACATATTTGTATGGAAAGAATTTCAGGATTCCAATATATTCTTTTTGCCTCTACCTATCCTGACAGGTAACAGAAAGCAAAAGTAAATATTTGTTTGTAGTATTCTAAACAAAGAGTTTGGTAGTGGCATCTGCTGCTTGGCTTCATCCTGGCTTCTGACCTACTTATCATCCGTGTCTCGTTAGGCAAGTTACTCAGCTATAGTCTGCTTTACTTTCCTTTATGATAGATGGGAAGGGAGAGGGCTACAAAGTAGCACCTATGTTAGACTGGCTATGGAGATTAAATTAATGCATGTAAACTACTTGAAGAGTGCCTGACACCCAGTAAGTATTGAATAAATATTAGCTAGGATCATGCGTACAATTACTGTATAATGATCATGATTGAGATTGAGAAGGTATGAGCCTAAAGGTAGGACTAAATTGAATTAGCCTTGGTCTAAGGTTCTCAGGTAGTTGAGCTATAAATAAATGCCTTTGGCCAATCCTTTTTCAAGTATCAGAGATCTTGGGAGGGTTAGCCCTGAGCAAAACTTCTGCTTCATCATGCCCCATGAAGGCCTAGAGACTGGGATGCCCTGAGAGGCCATATGAGAATGAACAGGAAGGAGACATTTACTGTAGTCCTAGCCTAATCCCAAATTCTATTAATTCAGCAAGTGATCTTTTCAAAGGGCATTCTAATATTCAAAATTCTCTGCATCTTCTTATATATTCCTTCTGCTAAACACTATACATTTTAGGAGATAAGAATAATAATACATGAATAAAATGTAAAAATATTTTTTCTCTTTCTAATTAAACATGACATACAAGTAGTTCTTGAATTAGAACTACCAATTCCTTAATAATAATAATATTATTTTCTGCTAGAGAATGTTTTATAGACATCTAGCAAGTGGCCTCACAGTTCCATTGAATTCATAGATATTTCTAAACGTTGGAGAAAATCCGAAAACTGGATGTCCTCTTCGTACGTTTCCATTGAAGTTTATGGCAGTTTCTGGGCACAATCACATCAACATTGCACATCTATAGATAGTTTACAGGTTACATAACTGTGGTTTTGGATTTAATTGCCAACTCGTTACCCTGATAGTAATTGCAGACAGGGGAATAACAGAGCAAAGGGGCCTGCCCATTGTGTTACTGCTGCCTATAAAAACAAATAGGATCCTTAGGGTTCAATTGGAGGACTTATAATTGCACCTAACGTTAAAATGGGAACTTTGGACATCTGGAAGATGAGTCTGGATTTGGTCACTTGCCTTTAGGAATTAAATTCATGAAATTGTGATGGTCCTAAAGAACAGTGGTGTTCCCACCTGGATTTATGCACAGGCAGAAATGACAAAGGTGAATGTGAGCTGGTCTGCAAAGCCACATAAGTCAGGAGAGAAGAATGGAGTTGGGTTTTAAACTCACATGTAATCCAGGATGATGACTGGCTTCTTTGGTGCTAACATGAAAATAACTCATCTAAAATGAAGAGCAGGTATATAAAAAGTTTGTTCTTACTTGGCAAAAACATGCATGGTTTCTGGAACTTGTAACTACACAGGGTGTCACTTGGCATCAGAGAGCCCATTTAGGAAAAGAATGACCCATGGTGACATGGGCTTGTTGGAAAGGGTCAGGAAAGGAACATATACAGCAAAAGGTACATAACAGCTTTCCGTAGAGAACGCTGGGTATCATTTTCCTCCACTCATCCCTCCTCTCCATCGTCAAAGCCAAACAGTTACACAGTTATGCATGCTACCCTGCCCGATGCATTACACATGCCAATAAGAGAGGTAGGACTGTTGTTTCTATTTTTTTCTTTCTAAAGCTATGAAAAGTTCTTTGTTTGTTCCTTATATAGTTTTAGGAATACCTTTGAGGAAATTGCCTTTATTCTTTATAGCAGATTTCATATAAAGCAAGTTTTGTGTTGCTTAGGAATAAAATTTTAGGCTTCTGGAATATTTTCTATTTTGTCTCTCCATAAAAAGATAATTTCAATTTCCCTAAATTACAAGGAATCTACTCTTCATGGTGTAGCAAAATTTTAAATTATGTAATTTAGATTACTCCAGAGTAAAACTTCTTAAAAACTGAGAGCACAGCTTAAGTGTATGGTCTAGAGGCAAGAGTTAATGGCATGGAAAAGTAGTAAAAGGTTGGATTAGAAGGTTTAATACTTATGATCTCTCAGCCCATTGCAGTTTACTCACTCCTTAGGAGACACAGATGGGACACGGCAGGTGTGTGTAAGGAGCGAAGCAATTCATGAATACTCAGCCATGAAATAGAAAATCAAAATGAAATAAGTATGACTGTAACTATCTTGGTCTATTAACATTCAAATATTAATACCTACTGTTCTTTGAAAGCCATTACTGAATATTTACTGGTAAGAAAAAAATGATAGCTTAGGAAGAGGAAGATGTTCAGGAAAAGCATTTAAGCAGGGTTTGAAAGACTTGTGATTTTCTTAACTCAGGGTAATAGTCGACCAATTAAAGTAGGTTTCCCATCCAAATGTTTCCCATCCAAAATGATCCCTCTTTTTCCCCAAGCGATCCAATTTAGGATCCCTTGGAAAAAAATTCCAAAATGCATTACAACTATTCATAAGGGTGACACATGGACCTATTTTTCTAAGGACTTTGATTTAATATTTGAATGCAACGGTATTTGACTTTGTTAGTATAGAATATTTAAACTTAAAAAGAAAATACCTTAATTTGCTTATGCATAAGCCTATTAAACACATTTCTAGCGGATCTTTTTATGTTTATTCTCTAGAACATAACCTATCTTTGAAGTGGTATATTAGTTTTTAAAAAGTCATTCCTAAGCTGATTAATTAAACTGAAAACAAAAGCTATTCTTAGGGTGTATTCCACATATAAAACTATGCACACGATGCTTTGATTCAAACAATATACTTATAAAACTTTGTTATTGTTTGAGTTCCATATTCAGAATGGCAACTTTTGTTTTTGATGATTATTCCATCCTGAAACAATTTCCCCCCTGCCCAATTAAACCAGAATTAGGAGCACATTTATATCTGAAGAGACTTAAGCTTCTCAACTGCCTGCTTCAGAAATGTAGACCTTTAGTGCTTGTGTTCATTTTGTCTCTTTGTGGAGGGCTCAAAAGAAAACAGAATCAATTCCCTTAAGTTTTTCTGGAAGAAAAAGGTTGCTTTTGTTGCTTTGATCTTAGCATGTTGTACATTTTTTATTGGCTGTTGAATATAAAAAGCCACAGCCTCATCTGGTTTTTCTGTTGTATTCTCATATTGTAAATCACATAATGCCTTCCAATCTAAAGTAAAATGCCTAAGTCCAAAATACCACTTCAAAATGGATTTATCATTATAGTTGATAGAAAGATTTCCAGGGTGTAAGAAAACAATTCAACAGTTTGATTAATATGCCACAGACTGCTAAAAATATATTCATGCATTTTAGACGATAAATTCCAGGATATAGACATACACTCATGCTATTTTAGATCCTTTTTTCCTACCATTGCAAGAGGCTGCTTTAGCTAATGCAACAGCTGGCTAGGTTATTGCTTCAACAATATAATTCATAATGCAAAAGCAGCTCTTTTCCAAACATTTTAGAGCAACTCAAGTTGTTTACATCTCCTGTGGGTGATTTTCCTATAACTTTGTGCCAATTGGTGTCATACTATTTGGTAAAAATCTACATTAAATCAAGACAACTGCACTTAGTTAAATTTCTCTCATACAGAGAATTATAGAAAAATTACAGTAGCTGATTTGAGCTCATCATCATTAAGTATATACAGGATTTTAGAAAATGAATGCAAACTACAAAAATGGAGTTGTATAATTAAACATTAAATAGTCCAAGTAATAAAAGTCATAGATTAATTGTCTCTCAGTTCTAGTCAGATCCTTTAAATACTGTCTCACGACTTGAGCATTGGTTCTTTCATCGGAAGAGTGCCTATCCTTAAAGTTGGGAAATTTCAGCTCCTTTGGAGCACCGATCATCTGTAAAAAGTAATTGGCATCTTCTTCCAAAGTTTCAAATTTCCCTACAAAATCATAGTTGATCAAACATGGATAGCAGAGTTTGCTGACCTTTTCCCAGTGAATGTCCATTCCTACTGGACGGTGGGAATCCAGCAAGTAGTGGATAAACTCTTTGAACCTGACTCCGGATCCATTAATTAATGCTTCTTCACAGGCATTTGGTCGGTATTTCTTGATAATTGCCTTTCCAAATACTGGATGGTAATAACTATTGGGGTGTTCAAATTTGTCCCTAAAGGCTGATACTAATCTTTCCATGGGATCACGAACAAACACAGCTTTGGTGTAAGTATTTAAGCGGGTATATATCCCTTTTAGGTCAAAGCTATCTAGCTTCTTCAAATGCTTCCCGTAGTGGACAGCATCATGGGAGATGTTGTATGCAGAGGAAGCCAATCCATTTAGTACCATCAGAATTCTTTTCCAATTGGAACAGCCAGCCTTAGGTACCTCGCAATATAAGATTTTGTGTTTATCTTCTACATAGATTCTGGATACCGTATGAAAAAGATGTGACTGATGATGACTCACCCCACCATATTTCTTGCAAAACTCCTGAAGGAAAGACCTTCGTTTCTCTTGGATCTCATCAGTTTTCTTCCATTTGTTATCTTTGACTAAACTTTTGTTTAAAGGGTGAATGTCCACTGGCCAATGCATGTTGCTGAACTTGTTGAAAACAGTCTTAGCTCCTTGATGTTTTTCAATCCTCCACTTCTCTGTTGGTGACCCTGTGGACTTACTTAAAGCTTGATCCCCTCCTTGCGAATAACTGGTCTTTGTTAAGACCCTAGTAGATCTCTCAGAATTGAGTAGAAGATTTTCCTTTTTTTCTCTTACATCCTCAGGCATGTGAAACTTGGGGTTCTGTTAAAATAAAGAAGGAGAAATGTTGAAAGCACAGTCACAAGTGTGGGTATACTAGATAAGGAACTTAACATATTTGTTTTAAAATACTATCGAGGAGAGCATATTTCATATAAGCTGCCAGAACAATTTAGCAAGGCATGCTGAATATACATTTTGTAGTGAGCTTCTTCACAGAAAATGTAGCAATGAGAAATGGCATCTACAGCATAGAGAGGAAAGAGCCCTGTATTTTTGTTCTGGCTTTACCCGTAATGCAATAGAATGTAACTCAACCATTCTGGGCATCTATGACTTTTGGGATATTAATAATAAGTATGTCATCTTCAAGTACTGTTTTAGTTTGTGCACCTGAATGTAGATACAAACTGGAGATGTTTTGAGATTGAAACTTTTGTTGTTTTTAGGGAGCACTCTGTAATGCACAGAGTAGTTCAAAATCATAAATTACAACTTAAAATTGTGTCAAGCCTAATTATAAATCTTGATGACCATTTCAGTTTTCTAAGTGCTTACAAAAAGTCATGTTTTTTTTTTTTTCTGGGAAAATGCTCTATTTTTCTAAAGTAGTTATCACAATAATTTAAGAATTTATTATGATCATAGTATACAATCTCATTAATGTATGAGACCTTCCCTTTTTCCCAAGTGAAGAATGACTAAGGAATCCAGAAAAGTCTACTTCACGTCCTGCTCCATAAAGTTGTATCAAGGTAGAGTAAAAATGTAGTTATCTTTCCAGCAGGATGAATGAGTCCATTTACTACATAGTGTTCATCTTGCTACATCCTTCCTACAACTCTCGCAGTAAAAGAAGACATGGAAGATGGGATTTACAAGGTGGCATCCTCTGGTAGGGATGAAAATTTTAAGGACATTGGCGTTTACTCTGGGTAAACTAGGGAACTTTTGTAAGTAACATGATCTTACTTAGACTTGAAAAGGATGGTGTGGAGAGGAATGGATTGAGATATACATATAAGGTTTTCAGCATGTTATTGGAAAAGTAAATGAATAAATTCTGTGCTGCGGGCATAATGCATGGTGTCATCAGCCTAGAGGTGGAGGCAGTAGTGGGGAAAGTTTCCTAGGGAATATAAACATGATTGCAAATATATATATATACACATGATACACATGATTGCATATATATGTAGTATATGTGTGTGTGTGTGTATATACACAATTTTAAACTATTGTATCCCCAAGATTGTCTAGAATGGTCTATAGCCTATAATAATTTCTCTCAAATATTTGTGGAATGAACAAGTGAATGAGTGAATGGAATTAGGTCTTCAAGGATAATTAGTAATTTTCTAGCAAATTAAGCAATAGAACAGAGGAATGAAGCACTGTTCATGGAGCCACTTCCAGACATCGTGGTCATTCCACCAGCTGAGGTTGAAGGGCACTGCTTTTTTTCTAGTGCAAGGGGACTGTGTGAATAAGCCCCTGAACACCATATACCAACGTGTATAGCCCCGTGTATTACTCTGTTCTCATGCTGCTAATAAAGACATACCCGAGACTGGGTAATTTATAAAGAAAAACATGTTTAATGAACTCACAATTCCACATGGCTGAGGAGGCCTCACAATCATGGCAGAAGGTAAAGGAAGAGCAAAGGCATGTCTTATATGGTGGTAGGCAAGAGAGAGCATATGCAGGGGAACTGCCCTTTCTAAAACCATCAAATCTCGTGAGACTTATTCACTATCACGAGGACAGCATGGGAAAAACCCACCCTCATGATTCAATTACCTCCCACGATAAGTGGGGAGTATAGGAGCTACAATTCAAGATGACATTTGGGTTGGAACACAGCCAAACCATCCAAATCTTCCATACCACTGGACCATCTATTTGGAGTTTTAACTCTAAAACCATTTGTCTGCTGTCTTCTCCAGAGACTGCCAGGATTACTTCAAAGCCCTTTATACTTCTTTAATCAGTGATTTGTAGTACATGAAGTTGTCACTGAAAATACAAAATTTGACTGTGGTTTGACAGATCATAGGGTTATCGGTACACATGCATGGAAAATACTTAGTACAGGCCAAATATAAAACTGCCATGATATTTGTACTATTACTTCTTCTGCTATTACCGCTATACATAATAACTACTATTATTGTTGTTTTAGCAGCAGCAGCAGCAGTAGTAGTAGTTACAGTGCTTTAATCCCAGGGACCTGGTGAATTTCAAGGCTCCCCATTTGTCCATTACTATTCAGTCTGTAATTTGTGTGTCCCTACATATGCCCTCACCAGGTCTCTTCTCTGCTTGACAATCAGAAACAAAAACAAAATCCACCTTCCCCTGTGGCCTCTGGACTTTCTGCTTTGTGGCCATCAAATTCCCCTTTAATCTCCAGGGATTTCTGGAATGTTTGTTTCCAAGACTCTGTAAATGAAACTTGGCTGACTCCCAACACTCTGTGTCTCTTGCACTTTCTCAAGTAGATGAAACTTCACTTCCTTAAACTACTTGTCTCTCCAGCCAAAAGATAGGGAGTGATTTCCCTGCAGACCACGGCTGCTTCCAGGACATCACCCAGCTAAGCCTCCTGCTTCTGTGAAATCAAAGTATTCTCCTTAAGTCTCCCTTTCCCCCTCCTCTTGTTGTCATCTACCTTTATCACTGATCTGTCCACTTTATGCACTCCAGCTTCTTACTCAGCTCCTGTCATTACGTTTATTGACTCTGACATCCAGTCAACTCTCAGTTCCTTGACCACTTCGTTTTTAACAGAGGAGCTCTCCACTTCACATCAACCAGAGCCTTTACTATTCCCACCATCTCTCTGACCACCCTTGTCTCACCTTCCAGTTCAGTGTTATTTCCTGCTTTGCAATTCTTTGACCACTTTTCACTGTTACCCAGGTCTTAACAGCCAGCACAACTGGCTCTGCATTCTTCAGCTCTCAGTTGGAAAGTCACCTCTGTAAAAAGGCTTTCCCTATTCATCCTGTCTAGGTTATTTTCCTCCCTTCCAAAATATTTCCTACAGAACCCTGTTTATTTTTCTCATCACACTGAGAAATGATTTATTTCCTTCCCTGTTGTCTTTTTCACCCCACTCCACCTCCATTGCACTAGCATATAACTGCAGAGAGGTCTTATCTTTCTTGCTCTCTGTGGTACTAAGCACACTGCCTGGTGCATAGAAGGTGATCAAGACATAATTCTTGAATAAGTAAATGTGCTTATAATTTAATAGTGGTCTTCTAAACAATTGTTTTAGGACCTTGTTGAAGAAAAACAACATTGATCAAAAGGTCAAGTTAAACTTGCGTAAACAATTGACCAATTCTTGTTAAGGTGACGAGAATCTGTGTTTAAATAAACCTTTGGCAAAAGAGAAAACAAATAAAATAAGCACATGGGAAGCTGCTTGCAGTCAAATAGATGTGGAGGCTTCGAGTCTAACCTGCCTGCCAAATCAGATCCGTTCAAAGTTCCTCAATGCTGTCTCCAAACCCGTCAAGGGCTTCCCAGCAACCTGGATTCCCAGGCCTTACTGTGGACATCCTGAATCAGAATGTCTGAGTGTAAGGCTCCTGACTTTAATTTCAACAAGATCCCCAGGTACTCCAGTGGCAGTCATAGCATTTGAAAGGAAAGTATAAACATAAGGCACAAGCCCTGACAAGTTCCTTTCATCCTATCTGGGGGAGAAAGACATCAAATGTAGTGGACTTGAATATTTCAGAAGGAGGGGAATTATTTGGATATAGAGTAGGAATGTCACATGAGCCCTCATTTAGACTAGATGCAATGTCTTTCTTGTTTATCAATTTCTCTTTGCTGGAAGACTTTGATTCCCAAGTAACTTTCTAAAGACTAGTTTAGCTGGGGAGATAACTGCATGAGGGAAAGGTTTACCACTCATTGTAAATTAGTCTCCTGCTAGTTTATTGAGTGCTAGTAAGTTTTCTCTACTGTAACCAAATTGAGATATGGCAAAAAGGGTTAATTCTCTAAAGCACCAGTGATCCACAAGGGTGGCCACCAGACCTTCTCCTGGAACTCCTCATCTCAATGTCATTCACCTTATAAAATCTGTTACTTGGGTTTGATGACATCCCTCCTAACCCCCACCCAACTCCATTTTCTTCCAGTCACAGCAAAGGCTCCATGACTAAGGGGTTTACATTACTAAAGTCAAAGCTAATGACATTTCACATTTAAAGCTCATACCAACAAAGTCCCGTCATCATCATCATCATCATCATCATCATCACAACAATAATAAAAGAATAAAATCTTACATCTCCATTTTCCTTGGGACACTTTATTCTGATTGTCCCTAACGCAAACACGTATAATAAAGCCAAAATTATCCTGTTGCCTTCAAAAGTGGCTCCCCCTGTGTTCTTTTCCATTTTTGAAATGGTCCTATTACTTGCCTGTCATCCACTCACAAAATCTGAGAGATGCTTTAACAATGGGAAAGTCAATTGGCTATTTTACATCTCATAATACTTCTATTTTTGTATCTTTCTAAATTAATTACCCCCAATTGGATATTTATTATCCTCCTAATTAGTCTCCCTGCAATTATTACTAAATTATTCTTCCTCAAACATTTTGTTTTTTATTTCTTAACATTTTGGACGGGATCCTCTAGCATCAGTGAACGTCCCCATTCCTTTGCTGGCATTTGCAGCCTGGTGCTGCTGAGCCTCTTCTCCTCTTTTCTTTTCTTTTTTCTTTTTCTTTTTTTTTTTTTTTTGCTTCTCTCTTAACACATGCCCTGTCCTCCACTTGCTTTTATCTGGGCTCTCGGCATTCCCCACTCATGGTCTCCTCCTTTCTTGGGACTTTCAAAATCTTCTAGTTTGATGTAAAAATCCTACTTTCTCCATGACAACCACCCAGGTCTCCAGTAAGTGATTCTACTCCCTTTGAAATGACTATAGCACTTAGTCTGTACCTCCTGTAGGGAAAGTAATTTTATTCCAGCTTCCATGGCTATTTGATTATTTTGTTGGAAAAAC